TTAAAAAATAAATCAGAGCTAAAAAAGTGCAAAAATGCAGGCAAATTTGCCTGCGTTCTACTACAATCTAAGGGATAGTACAGTCCAGTGTTTTTCCATATTTGGCATATCCGAATATAGTAGTGATCTACATTATATAATAGCATAGCGATATTCTAGAATTTAACAATAATTCTTAAAAATTGATTGATTACATATATAATGCATAATTTATCATATTTCTATATTTTTACAACCTCTCTAAACTAAATTACTCTTAAATTCTAAACCAAATATATAATCGGCCTTCGTAAATGTGGTTTTTTTATTGTTCTCTAAATGTTTTTGAAAAAGTTTTTGAGTTATACTTTCAGTGTTAAAATCTGTAAACTGTAAGCTGTTTTCTTGAACCTGCAGATTTTATTATGTTGAAACTTTTGTGAACTTAAGTTTTTTACATATTAAAATAATAAAATTTAAATACTATCATATTTGAGTCAATCAAGCTTGCTTTAATGACAAATATTATATGCACAGGCATATATATAGGATGCTGTACGTGCACTGGAAATGAATCTTCTAGATTTAGAATCATTCTAAATATACTTAAGTTGAAACAAAATTTTAAATTCACACAAATTATTAAGAATTTCGAATTAATTCAGAATTCACTTATCGTATATTCAATTTTAAATTAGAGTTTAAATACTAAAATGGTAATATATCGCAAAGCTATTTATATATATATTCTATGCTCTAATTATCTTTAACCGTTTCAAGAATTGTATTAATGTTCTGAAGAGCTTTAATACAGATAAGTGAGAAATTTAATAAGCTCTCAAATATATTGTGAGATAAAAATGTAACTGATTATTTTAAAAAAAAATCCACAATATAAGCGATTTGACGAATAAGAATTTATTAATTGTATTTAAAACCATTTGGGATTTCAAAATTAAAATCAGAGAATCTTATTTTCTGATTTATAATACAACATAGTGGGGGCTTGCAAATAAAATGAATAGGATTTATAGAAAAATATACTGAAAAGAATTGCAATCCAAATCGACAAATACTAGTTCTGCCCACTTCCTACCCCTAAGGAATCATTGAAGATCAGAGTAACAAGAATTTTCTGAGAGGGTTTACCTGATCGCTGATTACAAAATTACTGCAATATGTTAATAATTTATTTCAAATCAGAACCTGAACCTTACCCCCCTTGTTAATTTTGAAACTCTCTAATAATTAAATTTCAGTATAAAACTGTTAAAGATTTAGAATTTCCTGCATTGGTACGTATGTACAAGAAATCCAAACCTCTGTATATAGAACTTTAACCAAATTTATCATCTTTATAGCAACTACTTATACGTATAACTCTTTGAATAAATAAATCAGTTGCTATTGAGAGCAATAAACTTTTCTTATCTACGTAAATTTAAATTTTAATCATGCGCTATATATACACTGCGATAAATTTATTTTATCAAGCGACTTTTACTTGAGTCATTTTCTGGAATTAAGTAAATTTTAGAACGTTTAAAAATGGATAGTTAGTATATATTTTGCAATATTAATTGCACAATTTAAGTTATTACTTACATTTTTTATATTATAAAAAATAAAGCAGAAGATACTCCTTTGCCATGTTTATTTTCTACGCTTGTTAAAACTTATAAGTATAAGAAATTAAGCGAGTGTGAAACTAAGGAAAGACAACGAATTCGAAATGCAGATACAAATGCTATTAGAACCTGAATTAAACTATTTGAACCTCATTTTGTTGAATTAAGCTCTTTTCAAAATAAGTTAGAAAACTATTCGATTTGCGAAAAGCATTATAATTAAATTGTTCCAAAAGATAATTATTTAAATTACCTAAATGATGATTCGTTATCTTATCCAAGAAAACGTAGTCGCAATTCTAATGCCTTGAATTTAAATATGCAAATAGAATCTTCAACAACTATTGATATTGGAATTCAAGTAGAATTAGATAGTACAAATAGTGATTATTTAATGCAAATTAAAATTTTAAAAGATTCTCTTAATACGCTTGCAGCTAATTATTCCAAACAAGCACAAATTATCGAAGTTAAAAATAAAAAAATTTTCGAATTAGAATGTGAATGTAAATATCTTAAAAAAGCAATTGCAGATTTTAATATCGAATTAGAAAATTTAAATTTATATAAAAATCAAGTAAAGATATTAATAGATGAAAAAAATAAATTAGAAAGTGAAAATATATATCTAAAAAATTAATGGAATGAACGGCATAATACTCAGCAAAAATGTATAACAGAAATTACTAAAATTGCTTTATTAGAATGAAAGCTTTTATATGATGATTTTATTTATTTAATTAATGATTGCAATCGATTTCTTTAGAGAATTTATTAGCATTCAATCCTTTAAATTGGCTTAAATATCGTAATCCTGTAATTGTAAATTTTATTGAAATACTTACCAATAATAATGATAAACAAATATCTCAAAAAAAAAATTTTTAAACGTATAGTTGCTATAGATGCAATTTATAAATCGCGGCACAACAAATATGTATCTGAAGTAAATCTTGCTGCATCTGCAATTAAATATACTATTGCTCGATCAAAAACTATAATAGAAATTGATAATCATATTTTTGGTGGTGGCGGTTATACGAAGTTTATTAATTGAATGGAAAGTTTAGTAGTCGAACTAAAATCCTTGCCAAATGGACTTTTAATTTTGGCCTTTGATAATGAACAAAAAGGCCAAAAAAATTATTTAGATCGAGGTCACAACACGATCATCTTTTATACTGTAACTAGTTTTGTAGCTCTGAATTTTGATTCGAATAATAATAGCCAATTAACAATTAATCTATAGAAAAGCAAACCACTTCCTGAAGATGATATAAATCAATTACTTTATTTAAATAATGATATGGAAAAATCACTTGAAGTAAAGCTTCTTAATTTTATTAACGAAATAATAAATAATCTATCTTCTGAAAAAAATCAAGAGACAAATGAAATAGATAAACTAGTCGAAAAACAAAATAATCTATCTAATAAAATTAAAAAATGTTTAAATTGCTTTGAATCAGAGATTGATAATAAAAAGCGAAACTGTCCTAAATGTAAAGCTAAGCTACCAACACTTACTTCGATAAATTAAGAATCATTTCAACAAGTAGAACTATCTGAAAATATAAATAAGGCAATAGTATTTAAGCCTTATGAATCTAAAAAATCTAGTGTTGAATTACAAAATCCTAAAGTTAGTATAACACAAAAAAACTATCACGGATTATGGAGAAAAGTTCCAAACTTATACGTTTCTGATCCGATTCCAGTTAATTCTAATTTATTGAAAAATGTTCAAAAGGTTTTGGAGCATATAGAAATAATAACTGGTATTAAGTCTGGAAAACGTAAATAGATGCCCGTTGTATGCGATGGTATTCCATATAACCAAGCACTAAAATTAAAGCAACAATTTCCTTGGTTAATTTTACTTCCAGGTGCTTTGCATGAAGAAATGAACATGCTTAAAGCATTTGTTGAGCTAAATTGGTATAAAATTAACTAAATTATTTTAACTTATTAAGTTACTTACATGTAATTTTTTTTAACTTTTAAGGGAAATCAATATAAAAATATTTGCTCAGTGCTAAGGTATGGAATGGGCCAGGCCAAACCCGGAAATTTGTGGGCCGGGCCGGGCTTGGGCCTAGATTGGGCCCAAATTTTAAAACCCGTTACTTTGTGAGCTGGGCTTGGGTTGGACCTTCTAAATACTAGGCCGTGTTTGGGCTTTATAAGCATACCCGGATTGGCCCAATGGGCCCAGTTCATAGAAAGACATTCGTATGATTGGCTGATATAAACCAATTGTATATAACTTATTTATGCAGTTTAAATTCGGGAACGTAATGTTTGAAAGAACATCTATATTTAATAATCAAAAATAATCAGTAATCCCAAGAACTTCGCTTAAAAGCGAATATTTTATTATTTATTGCTAGTACTAGTCATATTAACGTATATAAGTTCTAAATGCTGGAAGCAGTCAATAAAATAAGAAAATTGAGACATTACGTGTAAGGTTTAATTTAAAAGAATTTTTTGTATATTATTTGAAATGC